TATTTTCCCCTGGGAATGCTCTCGAGGTGTTACATGGTGCTATGAGGGAGAAACCGATTAGGTCATTGACTGTACAACTGCGGCAGCCACTGTACAACTCACAAGCCTGTGCACCGCTGGTTCTCGGAAGTGAAAAGCTATTCAGTGCTCTCTCATGTTTCTTTGTTGAGCGATTCTATTGCTTCAATGTTCTTCAACAATCTTCAACCATGTTGGCCTCGGTCTCAAGCATTGAATTCATTGGCCTGATTAAAGCTGTCTGACTGATGCTACGTCAAATGCAACGGTGTTCATCACCATGTGAAAACTTTCGGCTTTACGCCAACGAGCCCATGCTTCCAACATCCGCATCATCTGTATCGGAATTGCTCAGATCCTGCTTCTCTGCCAAGGCCTCATCCTCGTGAACAAAGACTCCGGCCCACAAGACCTTGAAGCGCACCAAAGGATCCTCTCTCTTTACGAGGCGCACGGGGATCAACAGGAACTGAATCACAAGCCACAGTAGCAAGCCCGCAATGATGCCATAGCCAATGCTGAAGGTATAAGGCATGGTGACCATGGTCACAAAGGCCGGGATCGACTCCTGAAAGTCCTCCCAATCGATGCTCCGCAAGGACTGACACATCAACACGCCCAATAAGCACAAGATCGGTCCTGTGGCCAAGGGTGGTACCGCCGAGACCACTGGAGCGATGGGGATGGCCAACAGGAAGCACGTGCCCGTGACCAGGGGTGCCAGCCCCGTCTTGGCGCCATCGGCCACCCCCACAGTGGACTCGGCAAAGGTGACCACCGTGGAGACTCCAAGCATGGCTCCAATCAGGGCTGCAAAGCCATCAGCCAAATAAGCCATGTTCTGCCGGGCCAGTGGAAGGTTCCCCCGTGTGTCGGTGAGACGGGCGACCTTGGCCACGGCGAAGAAGGTGCCTGAGGCATCCAGTAGGTCAGTGTAGCAAAAAGTGGCCACAGCCGTCCAGAAGGTGGAGGCCATCACAGGATCAGTGGCTGCCCCAAAGCCGCTCCAAAGTGCCCCTGACAAACCACTCAAAGACGGATCACCAAGGAGGCCGGTGGGCAGGTAGATGTGGAAACCGGCATCGCGCTTCCCCAAGGTGCCGAAGGGGTACCCGAAGACGGAGCGCTCCTTGCCTCGTGCGAAGCCTTCGATCCAACACACCGCTGTGCCGAAGAGAATTCCCATCAAAGGAGCGCCTGGGACCTTGGCTGCGAAAAGCGCCGCGGTGAGGCCCAGCACCACCAGGCTCAGCCACAGCTTTGGGGCATCGTAGCTTTCGGGGCTGAGGCTGTTCAGTGTCACCAGGGTGGCTGGATCAGCAGTGGACAACCCCATTCCGGCAGATGCCTGGAAGGCGATGAAGGTCAAGAACAGTCCTACGCCTGCGCCAATGGTCTCCTTGATCCCCTTAGGAAACAAACGGATCATTAGTGTCCGCAGTCCTGTGATACTCACAAGGAGGAACATGCATCCAGCTACGAAGACACTTGCAAAGGCCGCCTGGTATGGCAAGCCCCTGCCCAGGCAAATTGTGAAGGTGAAAAAGGCATTCATGCTGCCAGGCCCTAACATGAAGGGATAGTTGGACAACGTGCCCATCAACCAACACCCACAGAAAGCAGCCAAAGCGGTAGCACAAACCAGCTGCTCGCGCATGCCTGGAATCACTAAGCTCAACATGCCACTGTTGACGGGAAGAATGTAGGCCATCGCCAAGAATGTAGTGAGACCAGCCCTGAACTCGGTGAAGTAAGTGGAGCCCCGTTTCTTCACATCGAAGGGGTCCTTCATGTTCAAATGCCCAAAGTTCCCAGCCAAACCTAGGAACTCCAAGGTAGTTGGTCGGACATTCGTGCCCGTCATTGCAGCTGGACAGAAATTCAAGCTTGAGGTCACACACGTGAATGCCTGTCTCTGTGTGGCAGGACTCTGGCATGATGGCATGCAACCCTATTTGTGATGCTTGGAAGCCCGACAGGCGTAGTTCTGAAGTCTGTTAAAACCTTAACTGATATGCATCAGTATTGCCTCCTCGCCAAATTGTCACCATAGAAGTTTGTCATGTAGCGATGTCTGGGCCATCAGCTGCAGCACAACAGGTACATCCATTTGATTGACAAAATCTCGGACACTCACCAAAATCCATTGAATGGGAATGGGTCAGTGGATGTCAGTGGATAAATAAATCAATCTATAGTATAAAAATCCAAAAAATATCAATAATTATTTACTAATCAATAATCCTCATAAAGGCCTTCATCGGCAGTCAAATTCACCAACCCTGAGAGGTATTTCAAGATGTTGCAGGAAAATGTCAGGACACCAGCGGGGATTCCAACTGTCTTGCCTAAGCATTTGCTTCCCTGATCCCCGTTATTACTTGCGACGCTTTTTCGCCAATTCCCACCGGGGCCCCTTGCCCTGCGATCTTCCGCACGGTGGCCGTGAGCAAGGCGGCACGCACCGCCACAGTCGCTGCTACGTCCAGGGCCTTGGGCTCACGGTGGGCAACGGTCCAACGATGTCAAATCGGCGAAGATGAAAAAAGGAATTGAATGATGATTCAAAAGGACCCTTGAAACAATGTGGTTTTGCGTCTTGTCATCTCTTCTCCCTGATCTAGGGGCATTCAAAGGACCAAAGAACACTCTACCAGCCACGAACCCTTTTCCGAGATCCTTCAGAGGTCCCAGGACGTAAAGATCGGAAGGGTGACAGGAGAATTGATTCATGAAAAATGAGCGAGCTCATGTCATCAATTTAGCTCATCAAGACAAAGTTGCCTTCTTTCAGTCTGCAAAACCCTCGTAGGCGTGGCATTGAAAGGAACATGTCAAGCAACGAATATCATAAGCCATGTAAGCTGTATGCCATGGTTCTTCGATTCAATATATATATATATACATACATATACAAGTATATATAAAATTTATATTATATCTGTCTGATCGCCAAAAGGGAGCATGAGAAGGCGCACACTCTCTTCATCGGAACATGCACTCGTACCAAAAAACCCTCCTGAAGCTTAGGCAGTACAATTCAGCTCAGGTTGTGGATGTCTTCACATTTTTCTATTCATTCGTTCTTTTGGGGATTGACTCAGCGGGTTCCATAAATATATATATATCTATATCTTCAAACTCAGGCCTTGCCAATCAAACGTCATTGACGAAGTCATTATGTATACTCTTCGTAAGAAGAAAGGCAACCCGAATGAGTAGGTGCCTTTTGCCTACACCAGCTTGAAGGGATGAAAGGCAAAATACAAGCATGTAGCATGTAGGTTGCTGCAGCTTTACCTTGTTCATCATTGTTCCTCAAAGCTATTCGAAGCTGTTAGTTTACGTGCATGAATACGGGTTGACTGAGGCGGCGAAGTCGTTGGAAAAGCTGAGTGCCATCACACGTTGCCCATGCCCATTCTTCTGGGTCAGGGATGCCCCTCCCTGAGGACATGTAAAAACGAGAAAGCTTGAAACTGATGATCGCACAATATTGCACAAGAAGTCTCACAGGTCCTCCCAGCGAATTAGCAACGACGTGCTGTGTGTGCGGGGTAGGAGATTGGTGCGTCTCGTGCAACTGGAGCTTTCCATCATCCCCATCCAACAAACCGGCCATGACAAAAACCAGGCAAACTGCAGCGCTCCCTTCCCTCCCTTTCCTCCCTCGCGCGTGCACGTCTGGAGCCTCAACCAATGCGGCCACTGAGGCCAAATCTCCCGCCGAGGCAGCCAACATCAAGGGTGTGGAGCCTCACGCGATCAACGCTGGGACTGGCTGATCTGGAGAAGCATGACCAAACCGGTTTTCAAATGATCACTAGCTAGCTAGAACATGCTAGAACATAATGATTGGAACCCAAAACAGCTGGCAAGAGATTGTTAAACTTGCTGCTCCAAGCCTCGATAATCGACCGAATTGGGATCAGCCTGTAGGTTGATCAGCCTTGGCCCGGGAGAGATGCCGGGAGGGGGTGTTGGGAGAGTTGGGAGAGGGCAAGTTGAAAATTGAAAACATCATATACATCATCTGAATGCCTGCGAATTGCAAGTATCTACCAGCCAAGCCATCAACCTACAACCTTGGAAGAACATAAACAAGCACTTCCATCTTGCCGCACATTGAGTTTTAATGGGATTTTGACCTGGCTATCTGCTATCTTGAAGGAAGCCGCCGAGTCTTGTTCTTGGCGGCCACGGCTGAAACTATGCCGCGGCCAAGAATCAGCATCCAATGCCAGAAGAAACCATATGGAAGTCCCTCCTGCATTCAGCACACTCTCCAAGAAGGTGCCGAGAGTGCATTGATTTGCTGGTCATGCTGGTCGAAGATTCTGGAATTCCAGCTGGCCCAAATGGCCACCAGCAATCTGAATTCGCAAAAGTCTGGCTCATGGGAGCGTGACAATTCACTTCTGTCCAACTTGTGCCAAGGGGTGGAATCATCAGATTTCAGTTGCCATACCACCGGTTGTCACGAGCCCATGCCAATCAGGTGCAGCCTCACTTGCCACTGTCAAAGGCGCAGCTCTTTTTTTGCACAATGATGCTAGTCACTGCCGGCCAGCAACATGGGACCAGTTGATCTTTAGCCTCACTTGATCGCAAAAAAAGTGCGTGGGATCTCACGTTCCCGAACCGACCAACATCTCCTAAATCCCAAATGAGTGCCGCATGCCAAAGGCGAATCAAGCGCCCCCGAACCGACCAACATGTGAAGAAGTTCTCGGCCCTTCGGCAGATCAACTGGTCGACCCATTGTGCCACTGTACAGGGCCACATCATCCCCCAAACGTCGATGTGGCAGGGCTCTTGGCTCGGCGTCTCTTGGCTCGGGACCTGAAAGAACGACCAAAGAAATATCCACGAATGGTCTCCGGGCTGACAGTCTTGAGATGTTCACAATGAAACAGCAAACACATAGATCATAGATCAAAGAGTTCAAAAGAACAACGGGCGTCCTTGGTGACAAGCAACCATCAATTCTCTCTTGACTTTCCTTTCTCGAAGAATTCCATCCTTGAGATGTGTGTGCTTCACTATTGTGCCAAACAGCATGCAATTTGACTGGACAATGCACTGTGCGCTGAAGTTTCTGCTTGACAAGTACTTTTGGCAGAACTCCCAAAGGCAACTCCCAAAGGATGCTCACCCTCAAGAACTCTGTCATGCCGAGGAACTGCTTCTGACGTTGCAGCTCAACGGTGGAGTGCCGGGTCGCTCTCCGAATGGCTTTGGTCACGCGAATGGTTTGGGTGAGCGGATCCTGGGGGTATCGGAAGCGTTTGGGAAGCGGTTTTCATTAACACCAATAGCAATGGCCTCCAATCTACTAGCAATGGCCTAAAAGAAATCCAATGTAATATCTGGTCTCAAAAGCAGCCCTGCAACTGCAACGCCCTGGTGTTTTTGCCCAGGTGCATACTGCGGAAAGAAGGGCCGAGTCAAGGAGTCGCAAAACTGTGCGATCCGGAACTCGGCATCCTGCAGCAAGTCAAGCAAACATTCCACCAGCTGGGGTGATGTCAAAAGCCTCTGACAAAGGGCGACGCATTGGCAAGCCTTGCAGGCTTTAGGCGGGGTAAGCATCAACAGGTTTGTGCTGCAGCTCGCTGCAAGTGCTTTCCAAGGTGAGCTGTTTGCACGGGGAGCGTCTCCTCCAGGCTTTCTGCGCAGAACATGACTGGCTGATATGTGGTAATCCTCAAGGGCAAGGGCAAGGGCAAGATCGTCCAACGCACATGACTCCGTATTGACCTTGACTATGTGTTCAAAGCGTTATCGGAAGATCTAAAGAAGAGGCCTTTGCCAACGAGCAACATCAATGTGCCTCCAAGCAACGGATACTCCTGCTTGGATGCCTGGGTGGACAACATGCTTGGCGGAAGGGCAAAGAACTAGTCACTCATTTGGTTCTAAGCGCTTTCAGTGACCCCTGGAAGGCTCTATATATGCTATATAAATCATAAATCTATATAATGTAGACGGCAAATTAATAATCACCCCCCTCTCCCTCAAATTGACACTCCTGATTAATAATTGATTCTGAAAAAAATCAAGAGGAAATCAAAAGGAATTAAGAGGAAATCTAAAGGACATAACAGAAAATTAAAACAAACACACACAAACAACTAAAAACATGGCTTTTAAACATGTGCAAACATTAATCTGGGGGGGTTATTAATCGAACAAAAAAGTGTGTAGACACTATTCTGGGAGCGGCAACTAATCTGCATTCTACATTAATGGATATGTTCTGTCCTGCTGTTCTTGTACAGTAATATGCCCATGCGATGGTCGACGTGACTGCTTATATCTTCCCACGTTGAAACGCCAGTCCTAGCGCGGGCGCGCCTCCCAGGGGTCCAAGGGCCGAAGGATAGGCTTCAGCTGTTCTTTCATGCTGCCCATCTCCCGACACTCCTGGCCAAGTGGGTGCGGTGATGTGCGATCTTCAGCCCAGCTGCACAACGAAGGAACATCAAACAAGCATTTCAATGACGCAGCATCGAACAACATCCAACTTTGGGTTCGAAGAATCGCCGACCCCACTGGCGATCTCCGCCTGCGAGGGCACATCGGCACAGGCCCATTCCATCTCACCAAAGCTGCTCAGAACTCCCGCGCCGAAGGCTTTCACATCTTCGCCTTGGGAGGGGGATCTGAAGACACGCGACCGTGTCCTCAGAGCGACAGTGGCCGAAGACACGCAGTGAGTGGCAAATTCGCCAAAAACACAACTGTTTTGCTGTGCCGGATGTGCCTTCTCGCAGAAGACCAAACCTCAAATGTGCCATCCCATGTGACAACTCTGAGGCGTGACCGCCAAACATTGACCGTTGTAAAGAAGCCTTGCACATCTCTCTCTCTCTCTCTCTCTCCCTCCCTCCCTCCCTCTCTCTCTCTCTCTTCCGTCCCGCCCGCCCGCTGTCCCTCGCTTCAATTAAACATCTACCCCAGCTAGATGGCTAAAGCAATTATTATGTCTGCATGCATGTTGGGGCATCTTCGGTTCTTATCATGCCGTCATACCAACATCGCCGAACTATTAACATCTGGCAGCTCCACGGTGAACCAGTAAACGGCAGCCAGTTTTGCCACATCCTCATCTGTAGCGGCCAAAGATGCCAAGCCTTACCAGGAAGAAACAAGTAAATATGAGTGCGACAGGATGAAACCATCATGCCTTGGAGTTGTCGACAACATCATTGAACGTCAGAGGTGTCCCTTTATGCTAGCTCAATTTGGACTGCTTGGCATCGAGCTTTCGGCCCTCTCTTTCAGCGCAGGTGGCTCTAGTTACATCTCAACTCCTTCTCTGGCAAACTGCTGGCAAATCATTGAACATGTCAAAGAAATCTGCCCCCAAGATCAACTATACTTGCTCTCAGCTTTCAAACACAGCAAGGCCACCCAAACATCCTGACGTGTTGGTAACGCAAACGCTTTTGAATGAAAACATATGAACACCATTGATTTCAGAACAACTAGAAAGAATCGCCCTTTGAAGGATGTGGCTTTAAGACTTTGAAGTTCTCAGTTTTTCCGTTCTCCCCATCCGCATCTGGGGCATGGACCGATCTCCTGGGAGAAATCCGCAAAGGCGGGGTTGGCGAAGAGCGGCACATGTCCCAAGAGCTCGTGGCAAATCTGCGGCGCCGAGCTCCAAAACCAGACACAAGACACTAGCCGCACTAGCCCCACGAACAAGGCGGCAGAACGCAGAATTGTTTGTAGCAATCTATGGATTGTATCACAGTGAAGAAGGTTCCAAGGATGAGCTGAGCTCATAAGCGGCAAAGACATTGGCTCAAGAGTGGGTCTAACCTTCCTACTTCTGCTGTGGTGGTTCGCTTTTCTTGTCAAAATTTATTCCAAAAACTGTCATCTCCTAAGAACACGCATTAAACAATGGGAGCCTGGAGGGCGTCTCAAGGCATGGTTCATCTTGTCATGAGATCGCTATTACAGTATATATATTAGGCCGAGGAATCAGGAAGCTGGAATCTACCTGACGCACCAAAAATTCTGTGGGTGGCTCGTGTGTTGAATGAACTGAGTATGATTTTCCTCCACACAAGCGCATCAGCCTTCTCAGGTGGACTTTTTAACAATCCCTCTGTGTTCATGGGCCTTACGACAGGCTAATGACCCGCACATCGCTTGCACGCTTCAAGAAACGGAGGTTGCCAAATTTCTCCTTGCACCCAACTTGCTGCCTGACAATGCCTGTTTGCTTGTTTGTTGCACGGGCTCCGAGATTCCAACTTGTCCTGAATTGACTTTTGGCCAGGGGACCCTGGCGCTGTCTGATTCATATGTTCTCCGAAACTGGCCATCTTGCCCAAACCGACCAATTTGTCTTGCCCAGGAGCATCTGGCTCTGGCGTGTAGAAGGGATTCCCGTGATGCCTCGCAGGCAACACATATGCCACTGGATGAAACAGTGTCGAACTGACTATCATGGCAACCAGAGTCGAACATGATTGAAACTCTTGTTGATAAAACCAGATAAAGGCTCAAGAATCCTTTGGGCTCGAAGCCAAATCCATATCCGTATCGCTTGCTGTCTGTCAGCAGGCCTGATGTACTGGGTGGAGTAAAACACCTCAAAAATAACTTTTGCAGTTGCACTTGCATTGCATGAATGAACTGTAGTCCGTAGTACGTCTCTTTCGTCAATGGTGTGCTGTAGTTCGCCAGTTGTTGGCCCTTTCGGTCTGGCATCCTTTTGGCATTCTGTTGGCAAAGGGTCACGAACTGATATATATATATATATACATATACTATATATATTGTATTATATTGTATAATACACACGATCTTTGCAGTTCTGGCGCTCGAAAAGCCAGCGCGTTCAAGAAGTCCCGTGCACTCAACAATCCGCTGATGGGGCGCAAGGTAAAGCCAGTGCGCTGCTGCAAAAAATCAGAGATATCGCCCAGCCTCGTTTGTGCTGCCATGTGTGCATATGAATTCAAGACAAGCCATCCAGTGATGACCCCCTCCAATGGAAAAACATACAAAAACTATTTGGGCTTCGACGCGCATGCAAGTAAGCATCTGGCTCGGAATTATATTGTGGCCGCATGCGTGCTCCAACATCCACTCGACATAACAAATCTATAACATCAAACATAACAATAGTAACAATGATTATATATATATATATACCCACATATATACAGTAATATACAGTAAGATCAATAATATGTATATACATATTCATTGCAAACATAAACTACAGTAAAACATCACACATGCCAGGTTGCTGCGGAATGTTGTTCACCGCATAACCTTGGTTGGAAAGGTCTTCAACAATTGCAGAACTCAAGGGGAGGCTCTTTAACGCTTTTCAAGAGATCAAAACTAACCCTACCTCGCAGCTGAAACACATATTGCGTACAGTGCAACCATGGTTGCTCTGAGAAAGTCCGTCGAATCACTGAGTGAGGAATTTCAGTGAGTCCACGAGTCCAGATTTGTCTTGGGATCCATTCACGTCCATCAAGTCCCTAACACTTCAAGACATCTGCCGTTGAAAGGGGTGTAGAGTTCGGGATGGGATGGTTGCAGCCGGCACACCACAGTACTTCTCCATCTGCGGCAGCATTTCTCCTCAAGAAGTGGTTGAGCATCCACACAGGCCATGGACCACTACGTATGACTCTCCACAAAGCCCGGCTGGTGCTACATGCAGGTTGCTATCAGTACTATCTAAGGAATCCAAGGCAAGATTGCACTGATGTTTGCTTCTGAGTGTGTCTGAAAGGGTTTCTCGTACCTTCGTCGGGCTGTCGGCACAAGTCATACAAAGGAAGACTGGTGCTGTATGATCCTCAATTCTGTTCACCCGAAACGGCAACCAACATGTTCTAGTAAGAAGAAGCTACTAGGGGCTCCTGGCCTTACTAGGAGCGAGGATGCTACTAGGGGCTCCTGGCATCACTACTAGGAGCATTCTTACTACTAGGAACAAATTTGGAGAAGGGCCACCACACGTTTGAAGGTCTGCCAAATCGCCGGCGGGCGTTCATTTTTCGAGTATAAAGTTTCTTGCCTTGCATTAGCCTTCTCTTGCTTAGTTCTATTTCCTGGTGGTCTGATGAAGGCATCCGCTTCTTTGGATGTCATATCTTAAGCAAACTCTTTGTGTGCTCTGCAGGCATTGAACTGTCTTCATCGACAACATTTCAAAAAGTTCTTGTCCGCATCCGAGGCACTGTACTCCCTGCAGGCCCACTTGTCGTGCAACGACCCCAATCTTTCATACACTGCCTCACAACAAAGCCGGTAATCCCAACCATGCCGGTGGCATCTCTGTCAAAACCACACTTAGAACACTACCAAGCATGCAAAAACGACACCTGATACATTACTGTTTCCACCCGCTTTTTCATTACCACAAGCAGCCATCGCCGCTGTCAACATGCATCGCTACGGCAACTGCCACGAGCAAGCCGCAAAAACAGCCAAAGCACCACAACACTGCAACCAGGGGCGCCACCCACAGCAACAGCACCAACAGCAGCCAACACTCAGAACAAGTATTTGTAATTGTGTATATATATATAGATTATATGTCCAAATTCAGCTGGAACTTGAACTCCCTCACCTTTTCTGTTGCACATCCACAAGCGACTGCACACATTCCGAAAGAAGTGCGCCTTCAAATGATTCAAGGGGATCAACATACTGTAAACTGTAAACAATATGTCTTGAGACAGGCAGTTTGCAGGCTTTAACCTGAGAAGCCTATCCAAGGTTCATGCCAACACTCACGTGTTCTGCATCTTCATTTCACTGAAGCTTTAGCAGCAAGCCATCGACAGGGAAAAACCCTGGAATGTAGCGTTGCTGAAGATTCTGTCCTTCTTTCAGTTCCTCGCAGCAGCAGAACAAATAACCCAAACATGGATCATTAATGTTTACGTGCCGGGCCAATTTTATGATTCTTTCAGTGATTCTTTCCTGTTGACACCGGTTGAGGGTCACCTGCAATCCAAGATTCCCAGGTAAAGCCGGATTTCCCCAGAACAGCCGACAGCAATTGCTTGGCTGCGGTCGTGGCCAGAAAGCGCCCAGGGCAAAGGCGTGGGCCACCTCCAAAGGCGCCAGACTCGACAGCGGAACTGGCGCCACGGTCCAGCTGGAACTCTGAAGGCTTGGGAAAAAGCTGCCTCAAAGGAGGGCAGATTCGCAGCTCTTCGCAGTCAGGAAGCAACAAGTGCAACTCAGACTTTACCAGTTCAGTGGTCTAGGCTCTAGACTCAGACACTCCCCATCATCCAAGACACTCTTCTGACAAGCTAGCTCCGATGCCATAGACCAACAAGTAGCCGTTGGGCACCGTCACCTGGTCATTGAGCTTCAGCGGCTCCCGCAGCAGCCGCATGGCGAAGGGTGCTGGAGGATTGGTCCGCAGGACTTCTGACAAAAAGAGGTCCAAGACCCGCTCACCATCGGGACCTCCAGTAAGCCAATTTGGGGTGATGGGGTGTGATTGAGCAGGTATTGGATATCATCTGCTTTACGTTTGAGCTGATGAGCGGAGTTTGTTTCATGGTAGTGATGTGTGATATTGTGGTAGTAATTCTGGTAAGAGGGAGATAGGAATCGGCATGATGGGTATGCATGGTCCGTGAGGAGAGCTGACTTGCTACAGTAACGCTCAGAACGACCCCCAAGCATCAGATCCGGACCTAGGAGACCTAGGAGGCATCTTGTATCGAGGAAGATGTATCTACAGTAAATTGAATTGGCAGTCCTTTCGTGAAACACCCAATTTAAATGACCCTTTGCCTGCCACCTTCTCTCTCACTTGGCCCTGCAATTCTTGGTCTTCCGAGAGCTTGAGAAAAGCAGAGCTCAGGGAGCTTGCCGTAGTGTCAATCCCAGCAAAGACCAGTGTAAACACATTGTCAATTATCTCATCGAATGACAAGGCATTGCCATCCTCATCCTTGGCGTTGAGGAGTTCGAACAAAAGAGTACCTTCCACGAGGTCTTTTCCCGAGATCCAGCTTCGCAAGACTTCTTCCACTCGTCCTCGTGCTCGCATGGCTTTGGCAGCTGCTGACCAGGGGATGAAGTTCAAAGGGGGCGAGAGCAATCCTAAGGACCACGTTCTGAGATCTTTGATCAGGACATCAAGCTGATTCTCACCCAGATCTTGCCCGAAAAGGACTTGCACAATGATCCTCACCATGGTTTGTTGCAACTTGGAAGACATGGCAAAGTATCCGGGCTCCTGCTTGCAGGATTCTAAAAAGTCACGAATAGCAACATTGATGAAGGCCTGATAGCCTGCTACTTGCTTTGGTGTCATGGCACTTTGAATTAGCCTTCTCAATCTGGCATGCGGAGCACCACTCTGCACAAGCAAGGAATTCTTCCCAAACAGCCGCTGATGATGAGGTGGGAAGAATGCCTCAAATGACCCTGGACGGCTTTCTTGACGTCTGGCAAGTGCCAAATCCTGTGCACTTGTGATCACGACTGCGGGCTTAAACAGGACGGATGTCGTCCAACGTGCTCCCCACTTTTGTCGACTCTCCACTTGATAACTGACCATCTTCTTGGGGTTCAAGAGTTCCAGAGTGTCGCCCAAAATGGGTAACTTCCCCCTACCAGGTGGCAGCGCCCAGCGGTTCAGCCGTGCTTGGCTCCAGCTCTGACGAGTCTGAATTCCACAAAAGGCTTTGTTAGAACAGGCCACCGCCAGTACAAGGGCTACAGCAGCAAGCCATCTAGAACCACGCCGTATGCCTACCGGCTGTGCCATGAGCTGGGCAGTGCTCCTTGACCGGAAGCTATGCTGCTGGGGCAATCCCGATTGAGCTGAAAGTGCCATACATACATTGCACCAGGGTGGCAAAATACCAGCAACACCATAGAAACAGAAAAGACCGACCAACACTTGTGATCCAGCCTGCCAAGTGGCAGTCTCTTGCTCTGTGTACCTGCATCAATAATTTTCAACACTGGCCGAAATCACAGTTGAACCAACAATTTGATTGTACAGCCAGAAAAATAATCTTAGCTCCCATGAATGAAAGGCCTCTGGTCACCTGGATGAGACAACCATCAAGATTTAGTTTCGCGAAAACTCTAGGAACCAAATGAATAGTGCGAGCGCTTCTTGATTCAAGGAAGCTCCCTTGAAGAAGCCTGAGCGTCGTGAGCTATCCTGCGTCCTGTCGCTAGGAGCTACTTAAGCTATTAGCTTCTCCCTCATCCCTCATTATACTTAATTAAGTAGTCGCCTACTTAATTAAGTAGGGAGGGGGAAGCGGGCAAAAAGAGAAACAATCTACAAATGGTGACTCAAGATTGGCTCAAAAAGCCCACCGGCTCCCAGCCTCACCCGTGGCAGCTTCTCTCCGTGCTTGTAGGCCTTCGCCAGGGAGACGATCTCAAAGCGCCTGACGACCCGGTCTCTCGGGGGTCGTTCAGGGGAACAGCGGAGGTTCATTTGGTGCTTCGACCGTTCATCTGCGTGGCTCCTGTGCTTGGGGGGTGTCCTGCTTTGGTTTTGATGGTCCAATGTTGACCTACCATGATCTGTCCAAACATTGGAAGTGAGACTTGTGAGAGCCGCACATCCATCCTGACATTTGGAAACATCCAAGTCTGGTGGGGCCTTGACACAAGAACACCCTCTCGCAAATCAATCGTCTTTGCAACATTTGCTGCTGGAACTGAAGCTGAACGGGAACCACCATCACCAGCAAACCGTAGCCTTTCTCGATATGCGGGATCATTGAAACCAGGATGGTCCTGGCGCTCCAAAACAAGATACACCAAGTTTACTTGTGACATCTTGTAACTTGTAACTGTTTAATGCTGCTGTAATTTCCTTTGGACAGTTGCCATAAGATATTGTTATGTATTGTCAAATAGTACGTACTAAGGATGTTCGTCTCATAGCGACGAGGTCCTCATTGATCAGCTCAGTGCCTCCGTCCAAGGTGTCGACCGTGAGGTCCAGCTCACGGATATTCATGGGAAACCTCGAGCGAAGAGGTGAGGCAAACATGAAACAAAATGAAACAAGGAAAGGTCTACAGGTCCGCTGGGAGAAAACACAAGGGCAACAGAAAAGGTTTAAAGGTATAAAGTTTAAAGGACTACACAAGGACAAACAATGAAAAACACCCAATGGCCCAGTGGCTCTGATCGGGGTGTCTCCGAATTGGTTGCAGCCAAGTACCATGGGACTTCTCTAGGGGTCTCTGGCAGGACGTCGTACACACCAGGCAGGCCTTTGATTGCCTGTGAGCAAATGGGCGTGGGGAGTTTCATGATTCATCCTCACAATGTTCCAGAATATCTCCTTCGTGCACGAATTGTCTCCCCCTTGTGGTGTGGGGCGACCAATTGCAGAATTGCCCGACTCTTCTGATTCTTCTATACAGTTCGAAGTTGATGGTTCATATGGTTCTGTTATATTGAATCAATTTATATTGGTTCTGAGTATCCCCAGCAGGGCCAACTCTCTTGTGATCCCAAATCTATCAAAATCTTCATTCTTCTGAATATGCCCCTCCCCTGTTACCCATCGGACCAAAAATGCCTTCATCAGCTCCTGAACCTGCGCGTCCTGAATAGTGAGAGTGCTGTGATGGTACTGGTGCGTTTGAAAAGGTTACCGTGGTTTCAGAGTAGATGGCACAACCCCCAAAATGTCCTTTAGATGGGGGATGCCATATAAACCCACCAAACTTGGGGATTGTGCCATCTACTCTCAACCCATGTCCAACCCATCTGGTGCTTCACCAGCTGTTTCAGATCAGTCTGTCTTTTCCTCGGTCCTTCAAGGAACCTTCAAAGTCGATGTGGAAGGAGGGCCCATCTCGAGCAAAAGACTTAAACCTGGACTCGATGTGGGTCATGTTGATCGCCTCGGTGTCGGCATCCACTCAATGAAAGAAGGTGGTCTCCAACAAGACATGTGATGCCATGGGATCAACAAATGCCCCCTTTTCTATCCTTTTCTTCTAACAAGGCTTTTCATGCTGATCATGGATGATTATAGTGAATCTGCCATCTCCTAATGGAGAAAGTCTGAGAAAGTCTTATTCCATAACAAGTGCATTCATTCTCAAGCGGCACGGCTTCATCTGTGAAGAATGTTAACGAGTACATGCTGCGATGTCGTGTGCCCCTTCGCTCAGTCTGCAGCTGATCGCGTGAACAGCCTCGGATCTGCAAGGTTGTCGTAGTGACACAGCAAAACCGACTGAGGCCTACAAACACATCACGTCCAAAGTCTAAAGTTCGGAAAAACATGATAACAAACCATCGTAGAAAGTCACTATCTGTGGATCTATGGACATCCAATTTGGTCCTGGCAATTATCTCGGGCATCTTTTTCTGCCATGTTCTGCCCTTAGGGACCGCCTGAAGGAGAAACCACCTGAAACACCTCATCGTGCACCTCAATAATGTGCATATTCAGTGTACTGGGTGAACAATTCACTTGAGGTCAATATATGAAACAAATCCTATCGTTCCTCGACCATTCCAGTGCTTCCTAGGAAAAAGTTGGCCCAGCATGGCCCAGCTAGGTCTGCACTCTGCCTTGGTACCAAGTCTCTGGAACTGGGCAAGAAGCTACAAGCACTAGTAGCAAGAAGCTACTTGGTTGGAGTCCACTACTAGTAACAAGAAACTACTAGTGGGTCCTCATTTATTTGGTCTTTTAAAGGCTCAGCTGTGTTTGGGCCTCCGTTGAGTCACTCCGGGAGGGGCCCGGCACTGTGACATCCATACCATCGGCCACGCAGCTCCAGGATTTCCCCCAGCACGCCAGGCCGGTCCCGCTTCACCTCGACAATGAGGAAACTCCGGGGATCCAGCTCGTGCAAATCCTCGAAGAGCACACGTGGAAAAGGAGCAGAACTAACAGAATCTAAATACGACATGCTCTTGTGAACACTTATATGCACGTGTATATGCAGCTTGGACCATTGGAGGGTGATTGAAACTTGCATCGACGTGTCTCCAGGATACTCATTCTAAGAACACTCCTACTCAAAAACCGGATCTTGAGCTAGGGAAATGATAAACCGAACCTGATTCGTACCTTTATCGACTCTAGCTCCTGTAGTACAGCACTCTACAGCGAACTGAATCGGTTATTCTACAAAAAATGTTCAAGAGCACCCTCAATTGTCAATGTCTTTGTTTTTTTTCTGCCATCAACCTGTAAGGCCAAAGAAACATTGAATAAGCAACACAAGAGGTAGTGACTAGTGGTGACTCTAAGGTCGCCCAACACTTGTTGCTCAATTTTCCTTGGGTGATCATATAGCTTGTTTGTGGACCTCGGGAGGGTGGGACACCCAGGCCCAAGGAGTGAACGAACGTTACAAGTATAACATACATATACAGAGTAGGCACACGGCATTGCAGTGTAGAACACGTCAAGCAAACAGGGGCTTCTTGGTCTCTAACCAGGGCGATGCCATTAGACCTTGGCTGGAATCTTTCATGAAAAGGTCTGCTGCACAGTAGCCACCAAACCTCCATGTCGGCGATGCCAGCTTGTGCAAAGCGTCGGCAGCCTGGTCCCAGTTTTGATCACTGGTCATGTCGCACTCATGCAGGTCATGTCTCATCCTTTTGCGACAAGTACCGTACTTCATTTCATCACGAGATGAGAGCTCCCACCCTCTGAGGTTCGCCCTCTTCGCCTCTTGCACTCTGCCCAACGCCGGGTTGCACACTGGAGGCGTTGAAGCATGACGTTGGAAAGGATTATGTACGGATGTTGCTGCTTGAAACCAACCACCCGGTAAATAGCTGCAAACTCAGCTTGTCTGGAAATAGCATGTCAACATCCAGAACAGCATTGCAGGAAAAGTGTAAACATGGACCAGAAAGTGAAGGCAATGAAGGCACCCAAGTGCAAAACTATACCATTCAATTCTGCATACGGTGACCAACGGACAGCTTTTGAAGGATCTAAGGGCGCTCTTGGCAAGTGGCCCCTTATTCTGTTGGAATGCGAGCCTTGAAACGGCTACAGGTGGACTAACAGTCAACAATTTGCTCACAAAGATTAGCAACTTGTAGGGTGATCAGTGGAATTTTGGATGAATGACGCGCAACGAAAGGCTTGTCTATACATTTCTATACTATATATTATATATATATATATATGCATGGAATTGCGTGGATATCTTGGAATTGATCGAGGAGTGTTTTTGACCGGCCTTCCTGAGCACCTGACGGCTTCACCAAATGCGAATGACCATGGCTGACGGCCGTGCACAGCACTGACTTGCCCTGGCCGAGGTCCAATCTGAAGGTTCCATTTGACTGGGAAGGATTGGGAAGGAGGTGACCCAACATCAACAGAAAAAAGGTACAACTCTTCCAAAATGTGTTGGACACCGTTTCATGCTGCTTCTATCTATTTGAGGACCCTTGTGCTGACTGGCCAGGAGCACGACGCAAACCTCACTCACAACCATTGGTTGCCGCCCAGCTACAGTAGCCCGTCATTAGCATCGCTCAGTTTTCAATTTTAACGGGATACACGCATGCAATTTGTGTTGAAAGATGGCAACATCAAACAAACTAACAAAAGTGAGCTGAACATGCCATTCCTCAAACGGTTTGGGGCAAAAGTACCAGGTTGTGTTGCTTGCACAAGTTGGCATCCACATCATGCAAGCGATCAACAATCATGCGTTTGTCACCGGAAGGCTGCATGCCAGACTCTGGAGCACCACGGCGCTCTGGAGCGATTTTTTTTGCAAATCGGGGCAAATCAAGGCGTGAAGTAACTGTGTGGAGAGCTTGGCTTCTCGACAGTCCAACCACCGTGAGTTGCAGGAGGGGCCGCGATGCAAATTCAAGCAATGAGGCGACTCATGCAAAAGCGCTTGGTCCATGAGGGTCATGACCCCAAAGTACGGTAACAGTTGTGGCGCAATGTGTTCAAAGGATTTCAACAAGGATTCTTATTTTTCTGGGTCGTGTGATATTGGCTTGTTTTCTCTTCCCAGGAGGGTCATTTACCTACGGGTAACCATGTGAAGGGATGGGAAGAAACAACAGCTTGTTGCCACTGGTTGGAGCAGGTGTGCAATACTACATTTTCACCCAGCAAGTGGCCACCGTAGCGATCCCTTGCGTAAGCTGGGGGCATAGAGCTGTTAGCAACAAGCGTCCACATGCACAGTGTCCCATGACCTGAACATGCTGCGCACGATTCCGATGTGTTCCGGTTCCAATGTGATATGCGCGGGAATCTGAGGCAATGCCAGTGGCAGAGGCATGAGGAATGTCAGATTTTTTCGTCCCTTGCGCTGCCTTCATCGCGGTTTCGTTCGCGAATTGGGCGCCAAACTTATCCAGGTTTCGGAATGCCGAATTTATCAGGAACCACGGACGCGCAGGGGTTGTCATCTGTCAGCAGCCAGCCAACCACTCCACCTCTTTCAGTAATGCAAGATGCAATGACCCCTTTGGCGGCATTAAACTTCTGCGCCTGCAAGGTTCTTGAGCAGCTGCAGCATTTTTGTCTCCACGTTTTGCGTGGAGCCTTGATGGTGGAGCGTCCTCTGGGCCTGTGCAGTCTGGGATGTTAGTTCTGTTTGTTGTCCTCGCCGCTTTCGCTTGACCGGAGCCAGGATTCATTTCAAAGGGCCCAGCGTGTGCATCAAGGGAAGATGGAAAGAGTCATCCATGGCGCGCGTGATCTGGGCTGTGGTGCTTGAGAAAGAACAAGGCGGTACCTAGCAAAGCTTCACAAATGCTCAAGGCCAGCTTTGCGACGTTTCATCGGAGACCAGTGCAGGTTGGCAACAAAGTGATGCTTATCATTGCTTATCTATGTGATGGGTGTTTGGAGGAACCCAAAGCACCACTACAGATTGAGAACCCTCCGCCGTGGTCGTCCTAGGAATCGTCAGCGGCAGGGAACTGTGTGCCAGTTCTTCTGAGAAAAGGCACATGAGAACGCACATGGATTGCTGATCTTCAGCTACTGTATGACTATGACATTCTCAGCACAGCGGAGAATGTAGATGTAGATTGGACCCGCTGCGGATGATAGTGAACAGAAATAACGTGCGCATTGGCCGCGCGCACGGCCGCCGCGCGCACGGCCTCTTGCATCGAGCAGGCGCCAGGCCCCTACGAATCTGCTTGGCATGCTATTGATGCCATTGGCGCCAAAGAAGGAAGAAAGATCAACATATATCAGAACTCCGACTCGGCATTGGGTTGGACACTGCTGGCAAGATCATGCTCGGAGGGCTCTAGTTTGCCGCAAAATGAAGCACAGCATGTGTCCCTTTGTCTTGGCAAGTTGTGAACAGGGTTAATGAGTCTTAAGGGCGCGAGACCAGGCCGAAAAGGAAGCAATGTTCGGTGTCACGCAAGGTGTGGCGCCTGGTGACGGCATAGTGATGGCAAAGTCCAAGTGAGATTCCCATCTGCCGGTCGCAACATGTTCATGTGGCCAGCGGGTCAGCACAGTTGAGGGCTACCAGCTTGGGCTGCTCGACAATGGACGAAGGAGGCGTCCGAATGCTTGGGTCCTTCCACACGGTGGCCTGTATGAGATCGAAGGTCTCCCACGTGCACCTGTGCCAGGATGCACTCGAGAATTAATCTCACCAGGGCCTCTGGTGGGCAATGAGCTCACCAAAAATTAGTTCTATCTTGAAGGGGCCTGCGGGTTGTTTACAGTCAGCATGCTGAAATGCAATGACCACATCCAACGGGCGAGGGGTAAGGGCAAGATGAATGTCACAGTGTGACACCCACCGTCCAAACAAACAAAGGCAGCAGCCGGGATGCACTTTGACACCACTCGATCCACAGTGGCGCTTGGAAGATGCTGGGGTGACGTGCAATCTTGCGCTTATTCGCACACGAGATTCGATGGTTTCCAGAACTCGAACTTCGTGTGATGTCTTTGACGACTGGGCTAGGGAAGCCAGCTTGCTGGGGTGGTAATCACACCGGTACATCAAGATTAATTTATTGTAAGTACATGTAATCAGAATCATGTATATAAGTACTGTATGTCTTGCTGTTTGCTTTCGCATGCATCATTTGCAAGCTTTGTTCAGGCATTTACTCTTTGCGGCCATTTCTAGGGCCCTTGAGCTGGACAGGATACGACACAACCCCCCTCGTTTGTGCGGAAATAGGAGCGCGGACTTCGTACGCCGTGATCTACTCCTTTGAGATTGGTAGCGGGGCCGGCGGAGATCCTGACTGCCGGTGTCTTCGGTGACCTACTTGGTTGAGGCGCACTTCGTTTTCCTTAGGAAAAGTCGAGAATAAGATCGCCACCCATGTCGGGAGCCGAAAGGGGAAGTCCACGGAGAACCCCTGTACGGAGAGCACGAACCTCCGTCCCTGGACCTGCCGGTCCTACACAGGCATCCACCGCGGGGCGCGGTGGCCTCTTTGCCAACTTCGAGGATCCACCTCAGCTGACCTACGCCCCTATGCAGCAGAACACAAGAGGGCTGGATTCCGGTTTGGCTAAGGCATGTCCTTCCGCTGAGGGACTCACGCAGAAGACCTACAGGAGCTATAGAAGGAGGTTGGAGCTCTTTGAGAAGCAGTGCACCTGACGAGGACATGACACTGCAGTGGAAGGCGCCTATTTGGTGATCAGCAGCCTTCGCGATGTGGCTTGGGATGCAACGGAGCAGTTGGACTTCAATGCAATTGAGTCTGCTCCTACCCCGTTCAAGGCATTGTACTTTCTGCTGGACGAGCTCTACCAGTATGAAGACCTGATCGAGGTTCCATTACGATGTGACGAGTTCTTCAGTGAGTTCAGCAGAAACAAGGGCGAAGAGCTGCAAGCCTATTTGTGGAAGTCCCTCCGTTGTTGTCGGGATGGCATCTCCTCACTCGAGCAGGAGTTCCTCGATGGACTCACGTCCAGATCAAGGCCATGTGCGCAGGAGACCTCGAGTACGACAAAGTTGGAAAGGCCTTGATCAGAATGTTCGGAGGTGACCATCGTCCGAATGCCCGTGACTTGGTTCGTTCAAGTGCCAACAACCCCAAGGAGGAGACCTACTACGAGGAAGATGAAGACGAATGGCACGAAGAGTACTGGGCTGAGGACTATGGAGCGGACGCCGACTGGTATGAGGAGGAGAACTTCTACGAAGACGAAGATGAGGAGATTCCTGAAGAGTTGGAAGAAGCCATGGAGATGACCGATGAAGCCTATGTCAGCTATGTGGAGAGCAGAAAGAGGATGAAGGAGCTGGCATTGTCAAGAGGCTTCTATCCAGTGGTTGCGCTGGGTCCAGAAGTGGAGAAGGGCGGTCATCGAGGATTCAAAGGAGATGGTGGCAAAGGCTTCAAAGGAAAAGGGAAGTCAAGCAGCAAAGGAAAAGGAAAGGGAAAGGGCAAGGCACCTTTCCGACGTGCTCCCTTTGTCCGTCGACCCATGGCTGGATTGAGGAAGCCCTATGCATCAAGCAGCACCTCCACGACTGCAACATCGGAGAAGTCAACGCTCTCTGGATCAACACAGCAGCATGGGCCGCGATTCAAGAGATACAGAAGTCAGGCCCAAGGCATCAAGACTGTGCCTGATGAAGAGGTGACTATGGTGGAGGATGAGCCAGTGATCGAGGAGGTCAAAATGGAGGAACAGTGCTTCTTCATGACCACCGACAAGGGCAAGGCAATTGTTGACAGTGGTGCCACCCGCACCATCGTTGGCGAGGAGAATTGGAAGAAATGGCTGGA